TTGGGGCACTGAATGTGTCCTATGATCGGACTCACCCCTGCTAGACCGAGAGTGACTCGGCCTATGATGAGAGTTATGAATTACGGGAGAAAGGGAATCCACCCTGTATGATCCTCCCCCTGAGCTGGCACCCTTGGGAGAGTTCCGGTCCGGCGAGGGTGATGGTGTAGGGGTTTTAGGCTTTTCGCCCGCTCCTTGACGGAGGCCTTTGCTCTTGCGGTTCTTAGCCATTGCTACTAAGATAATTGCAAGATGATCTTGGTTAGAAATTTGGCTTAAAGATTTTTGAAAGTCCTCCCCACAGACGGCGCCAAATTGTTTCGGGTGAAAACAATGGGACCTTGTCGAAGGTCCGATGAAGTGGAGAAGACTAGATTCGATCCAAGTAACGTTGGGCCGAAGGTTTCCTGCACAGTAAACACACGTAAACTAGCCTCGGGGGTGTTGCCGAGGAAGGCCCCTCCGATGCTAAAGTCAGTACAGTGCGTAGAAAGAGAACACTATGCAAGAGAATTAATTGCTTGAGGCTTTGCTTGAATGAATGTACAAATGTAATATTGATGACTTTTATACCTCTGCATACATGGAGAAGTTGGGCCTTAGCCCAATTGGCTTGCCTTGAGGACTGATCTTTGACTTTAGCACAATTGGAGAGATGAACCTTGACCTTGGGCTTTTAATTGGATCATTTAATGCCTAAGCCCAATTGGACTAAATTGGACCCAAACACATGATAGATTCATCTAATTCAAATTGGATCATGTAATAGATGATGGATTAGCTATTAATTTGAATTTGTAAATTTGAAGGAAGAACCATCAATTTCAATACTCATCAACTAATTTAGTGAGACATGAACCTCATCAAAGTCTTCGTTTCACAATCGGAGTATTTTACATTTTATACATCTTAACCTTAAATTAAACTTGATTGGATAGAAGAACCCCTTGAAAAACACGTTCTTGCTCCCCTTGCAATCACTGCATAGCAGCGTAGTAACGATTCTAGCTGCCTATAATGCATCAAAAAAAGGACAGGCAAATTTTTTACTTAAAAGTACAGGGCATTACCCTCAAAAGAGGGAGCCCTTCCAGAAATTCTCGACGGCCAAGGTCAAGCCAAGGCCGAAGAGGGGGTTTGGAAATAGTTTTCAACCAGCAATTGACGCGCCTCGGTTATTACCTCACTAGCTGCGTCATTGCCCCAAGCGCAAAGATACGATATTCGGTAGCCACTGTTATCTCTTATATACTATACATAAATAGCTTATATACTATACACTTTAGTGTTTTCTTACACTTCGATATTGTTTAGGCAAAGCAACATTAATATGCCATTAGCTTTTTTTTTTTTTTTTTTTTCGAAGGATATTATTGAGTAGTGTAGGACATGTTGTATGTAGGCCGAATGTAAATGTAGACATCCAAATGTTGTTATCTATTTAGCCATTTAGGTGTCAAATACTTGTGAATGCGAAGTTAATATCTAATAAAATAAAAATACTAGTATAAGATTGTTTCTGCAGGAAGCCAATGACCCAACTCCAAGATCCGAAACTCGAGCATATAACCCGTTCTGCTCCTATCGACCAAACAAGAACCTACACACAGAGAAGAGATTAGCTAGCCCCGGGGTGAACCCGGGGATAACCACTCCAATGATTAAGTCAGTAAGTGTTTATAGAAAGAGGAAAGAGATTTTTTAGAGAGAGAAAGTAGTGAGAGAGAGAGAGTGTGTGTAATCAATGCTACCTTATTATGAGGTAAAACCAGATTATTTATAGGTTGATTAAGTGACGGGTGGCAGTTTAATATGCAAAGTAATTTTCGCCACGTGTCAAGCGTTAGAACGACACGTGTCAGCTACTTACATGCCGATATGTATACTTTATATATAAATGCCGATATTAACAAGAATTGCTGATGAACCAGATTCGAATAGTATATCGGCCTAAGAAACAATATCGGCCTATCATACAATATCGGCCTTAATGTAAGTATCTCCCCATACAAAGATATCCTAAGAAAATCATAATCTACTACCTCCGTTTCTTATTAATTGCAACTTTGGGGTATTATTTGTGAGATATAAAATATTCCAAAGTTGCAACTAATACGAAACGGAGGTAGTAGTAGATTTGTTGTGCTAATTTTAAGCTAATTAATCTCTTTTATACCTAGTTTTTGTCACAACATACTAGCTTGTGATTTAAATGAGTCTTTATTTCTTCATCATTAGCTTTTTGAATTCATTCTAATAAAATACTATCAACCTCTTTTTTTGGCAAATTTTTTCACAAGCAAATAAGCATAGCAAATGGTCAAGTTAGTAGCGTATAGGGGTGTAAATGAACCAAGTCGATCAATAAACTACTCGTATTCGGGCTCGGTTGAAACTCGTTCATGCACGTTTATTGAATAAATGAACCGAGCTTGAACAAATTTTGAAGCTCATTTAATAAATGAGCTTGAACACTGTAGACACCCATTTGTGTCTCCCCAAAACCAAACCCGATGATGAGTACCTTTCACGTCGAATCATAATCGAATGAAGTGAAAGTGTGGAAAGTCTAGTGTTACAGTTAGTTTTTAATTCTTTTCTTTCTCTTTGTTTTTGAAAATCTATTTTAAGAAAACAGCCAATCCAGTTTGGTTTGGTCCATAACAAGGGTCCAATAATAAAATAGTTGGATGGGGTTTGAAAAGAGCTTTTCAACGATATATTATAAGCCCAATTCCGATGAATAATGAGGAAGTTATGGCCAAATTACTAAACTGGGCCCGATTTGATATTTATGTGCGGCCCAATGATCTAGAGGAGGGCCTAATATTGATTTATCATTCCTAATGCAATTAGAATTGATTTTAGTCTTCTAGATTCTTCTAGAATGTTCTTTTCTTTCCTAATTTACTTAGCATTGATAAAGAGTTTTAATCAGAATAAAAGAAGTGTTTTTAAGGAAAATACGATTTTGCCTTTCTGTACGGCTAAATTTTATCAAATTTAAGAAAACGTGTGAAACTGGTTTCTAGCGCCCGACGACAGAATTAGCGCCTGGTGCTAATGCTTGGCGTCTCGCGCTAGCCTTAGCGCCTGGCGCTAATGTCTGGCGTCTGGCGTCTGGCGCTAAGTCGTTTTATTCTCTTCGAAACTCTGATTCGTTTTTCTATCCATCCGGCTGATTTTCTCTATAAATAGCCTCCTAAAACCTCCGTTTTCCATCAACAATTATCATCAACAACTATTAATTTTCTTATTCTCTCTAGTTTTCAAAATATTCTCTATCTCTAGATTTTTGCATACAAAATTCCGCATTCACAAGATCTAGAAACACCTAGCCAAATTCGAAGTTGCCTTCGCCCTAAACGTGAAAGGTTTTAATTTCTGAGGGTTTGGTCTCAAATCTCTCTTTCAATTATTTAATTTAATTCTTTGTTTTTATTATTTTCCTTGAAGTTACTAACACGTGTATTTTGTTATTAGAAAGAGGTACGAGGCATCCAAGTAAGTGCTTTAATTGATTTATTGATATTATGATATAGAAATCATGTCTAAGTTGTTATTATGATTCCTAGTATCATGTTAGGATGCTTGATGTTTTGAATGACAACAATGATTTCTATTATCATGTTTAGGGTAATAACTATAATTTCTAATATCAAATATGACGATTGTGATTCCTGCGATGCTTCCTATTTTCTTGCTAATATTTTTGTTAGTATCATGTTAGGGCTAAATATTTAATCTTTGATGTTTAGTGACATGCTAGGGTTTGTTATTAATCTTGTTAGTATCATGCCTAGGATCTTGCTATTAATATTATGCTTTAATATGATTATGATTATTATTGTTATAATTGTTATGATTTATGATTATTATTATGTTGCTTGATATATATTTTTATTTGTTATTGCTTAATCACGCCTTTTATGCATGTTTAAAGGGAATTGGTAGTTGTAATCATGCTTAATAAGATAATTAATAATCTTGTTTAAAGGGTTAATTTGATTATAATTCAAGTGATCGCCAATAATAATTTTGTTTGTGCATTAATATTCAACCAACATAGATTAAACAGGTTTTGGGTAATCCTATTGTTTGCATGTTAGTCAGAAAGCGCACATGAATACGATCAGAATAAAGTTAGGGCAGGTTCAATCTCTTTTAGGTTGGATTTGTACCTTCATCCCCGAACTACCAGTCATGGTTCCAGACCTATTGGAGTTGACGATCTCATGAATCGTTAAGGGGTGTAACCTTCACCTCGTGAACGGTTTACAAGTTCCTAAAACTTGTTGGTGACTCTTTTACTCTATCTTCTTTCCCTTTGGACGCCGCCATACTTTAGTGTATGATCACAGTAGGTTCAAGCTAGAGATAATGCTTGAATTATTCCCAACAAACACGAACATAGATATGCTTGTTCAGATAAGTTCATGAATAACTCGTTTATTTATGTTCATGAATTATTGGTTTATTTACAATTGTTAATTTAGTTATTAAATTTATAATTAAGATTCAATTTAAGTTCATTCATGAAAGACTCATTAAATAAACATCACAAACCATTCTTGAACATATAGTGTACTAAATGAGCCGAGTTTGAACAGAAATTTGAGCTCGCTTGAAAGCTCGGGACGTGCTCGAACTTGCCTAAATTAAATGAACTTGAACATCAACAAGGTAATACTCGACTCGGCTTGGCTCGGCACGGCTTATTTACACCCCTAGTAGCGTAGTAGCAAGAAATTTTTTATAAATTGCAACACAAGTCCAAACCCTTAATAAATTCTGAACTCTGTTGCCGAACAACTTTATAAATGTTTGTCTTTTATAATATGTAATTGAAATTAGGAAAAATTATTGTTATTTGAAGATGTCCATGTAAAAATATGCATATAAAGCCAAAGAATAAAAATTTGAGGAGTAATACTTATCAATCACCTCTTATATCATATTTAGTTGCAAGTGAATATATATAGTTGGGAACTTGAGAATTTGGGATAGCCCTTGTTGAATCTTATGAAATTATATAATTGAAACATATTTCCTTATTATTGACAATCATTAGAATTTTTGGGCATACAACAAATTTGAAGACCCTTATTACTTGTCATAAAAATAATAAACAAGGAATGAAACATACATTCTTTGAAATGTCCATTCCCTTATTGAGCATGCATAGAAATCACTAAGCAATATTTTTTCATAATTACTTAGTTAGCCACACTACATTGTTTCCTAATCTGCCCTTTACCTCCGGTAAGCACATCAATGGTTCCCATCTTTTCCATAGACCTAGCAAACTCATCAAGGAAGCTTTCAGGACTAAGAAGTTCATCCACAATTTTTTCAGCTTTTTTATCGGTGAGGAGGGCAGCATCGGACATGAATAGACCCTTATGTTCTTTTAGGATTTGGAAGAAGTGGTTGTCGAAGGAGAGCGAGCTTTTAGGGTCGAGTTCAACCGTGGTTGTAGAATCACTTGGACCTTTGCATTGAGTCTTTAAGAAACTAGCATAAGTTGGGTCTAGTGAAGGATCTTGGTCTCCTTTTCCGGTGAAGTTGAATAGCCTATGGTTGAAAAAGTTGCAGTGACCAACTCCAATTGTATGTGCACCTTTTATCCCACGAAAACATACAAGTTTTTAAACACACAATGGAAAACATAAAAGTTGATATTGTGAAAGTATTTTATGAGATGAATCCAACAAGATCCCACTTGACTATATTTTGCTTAACGTATAAATCATATTATATGGTCAAACAAGAGTGATGAATAGTGCAAAAAGTCCATTGTTGCAATATTAATAGAACGGAGGAAGTAGTACTTTTAATTGTTATCTGAAACTTTAGATTTTTTTTTTTTATATTATTTCATTAATGATACCCTAAAGTTGCAGATAACAATTAATGAAGGTAATATTTTTTTTGTTTTTTGTTTTGAAAAAGAGGCAGTGTTGTTTTTTATTTATTATAAGTTGAAATGGAATAAATATATGCTTATTCATAATATCCCTTTTATCTATATTTCTCTAAAGAGTAATAAAAATTCTTCATCTTATGTCAACAATCAATGTCTAAATAGAAAGAACAACATTAAGAGACAGAGAGAGTATTATAACATTTTTAATCAGTCAAATATACGATGTTGTATTATTTACATTATGAAAGGTATAGAGAAAGAATAAAAAATTATGTAGAGTTTTGACGTACGTACCTGATAAAACCACAAGATCACGAACAGAAAGGCCTTTTTTGGCAAAATTCTTTTTGAGAACAGGGAGGTTAGAGAAGGAAGAAGGGAGATTAGATTCAGCCTCCGAAGCCAAAGATATAGTTCCATCTCTTCTGCCTGTGAGTACATCCCACAAGGGCCTCCCGTACTAGAAAATCATACGTATAGAAAACAAAAGTACGATGAACAATTAGTTACAATGCTTAAATTAAACAAAAAATTGAAATATAAAACATTAGTAATGGTGGGAATAATAGATTAAACCAAAAACAGTATAATATTATGTTGTTTTATATGGACCATTCAAGTCAATGCAAAAATGACCTACTACCTCCGTTAAATGTTTTGTGCAACTTTGGGGTATTATTTGTGAGATATAAAATATTTCAAAGTTGCACGTAACTTTTAAAGAAAGAAATGGGCGTAGATCAATAGTATTACGTCTTGATGTTTCATTAATTAACTTCTTATACGTATTAATCACTAATCGTAGTTAGAGTTGTTATATCATTTTTCTTTGTATACAAGTTACGATCGATTATTCTGCCTACATATTGTGACTTGTGACAAAGATATGTAGAACGTAACAGAGCATAATAATTCATTTATGGTTGATATTGAAACTTACTTGGAGAGAAACAGCGTCCCTAGTAGCGAGAGCCAAGATATCAGCACAAGAAACAATTCCGGGGCACTCTTTCTCGACCGCTGCTTTAATATCATCAATAACTTCGAACCCTGCTAAGTTTTTATTGCCTGATGACTCTTTCTCTGACTTAGTATTTGCGACGGAGTTCAATAGTACTGAACCTTCACACCCCTGATGTATATTTGTTTTTTCAGCCAAAAAAAATCTATCATCTCATATGAAATTCCTAGTAGTGTACTAATATTTATGTTTTTGTGTGTGCTTTTGTTGAGGTACCAAAAAGGAGGCAACGTTAAAATTTGTGATTTCACATATTAATTGATTATGGATTTAGTTGACTCATGCATACGAAACACGTACGTATGAAATGGGCTATAACATGCAAACATTTTCATTAGTAACATGTATATGTATCGTCTTTTGTTTCAAAAGCACAATAGCTTAATCATCGAATTTGTCAACACCCAACTAAGTTTGATCATCTATAAGAATAAACACAATATTATTATTTACATTCTTAAAAGTTCATATACTGTATTGGTTAAAAAAAATCCAAGTTAGTTAATAATGTCAAAGTCAAACTATTGCAAAATCAATGAAACAATAATGGAATATATCTTGTTTATTTTTTTTAAATAATCATGGTTATCATTCTTATTAACGTAATAAAATTATATATTAGGACAATATTGATGGTAAAAGACGCATACCCTAACGAAACAATCGTGGAAATGCAATCGCAAGAGCTTTGCAGGTAAATTTGGGTTAGTAGAGACATGACTCTCCGTAACCCTTTGCACAATCTCTTCAACACCAGGACAATCATCTTCATAAAAGTTTTCCATTAGGCCACCCTTTTTCTTGTCACCTTTATCCTTACCTGCATTCGAAATCACAAAATTGCTACAAATTGCTATAATAAGCAACAACAACAAAACCTTGTTAGCCATTTTTGTATATTCAAGTAGTTTAATTGTATTTTTATTATTATGGTCTTAATAATAAACTACCTTGAATTTATTTAAGTTGCATGGTTCCATACTACCATTTGCCAACTTATATAGTACTCAGATGCATGGAATCTTTCTCAATTGAAAGTTACTATATTATATAAAAGATGATTAGCTAGCTTTCTTCAATGTGAAATATATTTTAATTTTAATACACGCATCCACCAATAGCTTTATCACTTTACAATTTACACTTACACGTAAAATTAAGCAACATCGATGCTGAATGTTGGTTTGACTTTCATATTAATTAATTAAAATTTTGTGCTTATTAAACTTAAATTAATTCATTCCTTAGATAGTTAACTAGTTAAGATCTTAGTATTTTATATCTATTATTTCGGATGTTTTAATACCTTTTTTGAGTAAGAACTAATTATTGTTCTCTAGGTTTAGCTTAGCTTTCTCTAGTGATTATAAGAGACACTTTAGTAGGAAGTGGGCAACTAGGCAAGTGGCCTAGAATTCTAATTAAATCTGACAAAAGATGACACGACATAAACCAGACACTAAAAATCGTATTAAAATTAGGGGTTTACGACCTGTTTTACTAAACCGGTCAACATGGCATGATTCGTTCAATTTATCAACTGGATGGGTCAGTGTTTAATTAAAATTGACCCCTACATGAAAGCAACATGGCTTAACCCATTTAAGAGCATAGATGAATAGCTTACATAATTTTGTTAAAAATTTTAAATAATGTGGCTAATACTTTTGCATATAACGCAATGCTAATTAGACACGAAATAAGCAGGATAGCTATGATTTCTCACATGTTTTATAAACAAGTCTACACAACACGACATATTTATTAAATGGGTCGAGATAGTGCTGAAGTTTTTTGACCTATTAACTTTGAACAAAAACATGATAACAACACGACATACATGACATGTTTGACAGCTCTAATTTTAATCCCTTAGTGGATTACCTTTTTCAAACATTCAATTGTTTGGATAATTGTGACGAAAGAGTTATATATATTTTGAGATAAAAAAAAAAAAGGGTTTGTTACCGTGTCAATCACTTACCCCAAAAAAAAAAAACAAAAAAGTACTCCCCTTTTTATAAGAGATAAGTAGAAGTTTATCTTTGTGAAGTTTATTAAAGGATATTGTAGTCATTTCCCAATTAAAAAGAGGGGCATTTTTGTCATTTTATAGAAAAACTCATTCAAGTAGCTTTAATGGAAAATAGAAATCTGCTGGAATTGAAGAAGCTCACAAGCTCTATCTATGGTAAATACCAATAGAAAGGGGGAAATCAAACAACCAAACGTAAACTCCTTCCCTTTAGGATTAACTATTTGATATGTCTATTTTATATAGTGTTTTACCCCCGTCCCTTGGTCATAATTGGTAGTGTTTTTGGCTCTTTAGAGCCACTTTTATTACTAATTGGTGTTTTATAGTGTTTTCGTAGTTTTGGTTGACTTTTGTAGGAAATTGCGCCTTTGGAGCATTTTCCCGGGATTGTTGTGAAACGACTATGAGCATTGGAGGGCACGACCACTTGCATTATATTGGACACCAAGTATTCAAGACCCAGAGTGGAGATTTGAATTAGGCCAAGAATGAAGGCCAATCCCAAGTCTAGCCTATAGCCGGGCCCGATTGGGCGGCTGCCTAGGCTAAGAGATCGAAGAAAAAGGCGGGCCCGATCGGGCTCGTGCTTATGAGAAGATTAGTTCAGCAATTTTCTTAGTTTTAATTAGGAGTAATTACGAGTTTTGTATAAATACGTTTTAGTGTTTTTAGTTTTGATCACCTCTTCTCTTAGACTTTCTCTATCTACTTAGTCATTTTCTCTCTCTTAATTTCTCTCTACAAGTTCACTCTTGTTCTTGACTCAACTCTTTGTTTCCGTTAATTTTGGTAACGATTTCTTCTCTATTAATTTTAGCAATTTTATTTCTTTATTCTATTATAACTTCTTTTATTGATTTGTTTAGTTTAGATTTAATTATGTGTGAGTAGTTTAATTTTAGGGTTTTGGGGAATCCATAATTAATATGAAGGGATAATTCATTATTGTTGATTATTGATATTGCATGATAATTTCTTATTGAATTGTTTTAATTCTTTACAATTAGATTATGAATCGAGCAGATGTGATTTGATTGTAAAAGTATAGCAATATTGAATTGATGAATCGAGCAGATGTTAATTTGATATTAAAGGCTATTTTTAATAGGAACTTAGATCTAGTAAATTGCGAGAGCCTTTAGATCTATGTTGTTAATAAATTGCGAGAGCCTGTTAGATCATGTTTTGTGTGCAATGTTAATTATTGATTGTTATGTTTTATCCTGAATTATTAATTATTGGTGAACCTGTGACCCTATGCTCCCTTATTATTGATTTTCTCCCTAATCTTGATCTCCGTAGTATAATTCCTTTTTACAACAACAAACTGATTACTTGATAATTTAGACTACTCTTAATTAATTAGGAATAAATTGACTTGTTTCCCTCTGGTTCGACCCTTCTTCTCTATATGCATAGTTACAGGACTTAAGAATTATTTTTTATTAGGTGATTACGACTTTATCCTGTCACCATTCCCTTAATTTCTATATTTTTATTTAGGGTTTTCATTGGCGCCGCCGAAAATGGTGGTGTTGAGGTTTGGTGTCCGCCATTGATGCAGCTTGAAGAAGAAGATTAAGGTGTTAGTAGGGTCGGGAACAAAGGTACGAGGACGGGAAATCATGGACTGTGCAATGACGAAGAAGATGATGTTGATTTTTTTATAATTATTGTATTTTCCCAAAATGTAATATTATTTATAATTTTGTCACCGAGATAAACATATTCGTTTATCAAGGAGATTAACCTGAGCTCCCTATTTTTTAAGTGTTACATTATGATGAATTAAGATAAAATAGATTTTCTAAATTTGATTGACACATAATTTTAGGCCCCAAATAAATTCTTTAATTATTTTAAATATAATAAGAGTAAGACCATGTTCACTTCACTTTATTTTTGTTTAACTTAAATTACTTTTACTGTTGAACTGAAATTATTTTTCAATACTAAAATTATTTATATTGATTCTATCTCCATTATATTTCTTCATTGAATTTTTTACTGAACCGAATTATTTTTAATGAACTGAAATTATTTATGCTGAATTAAATTTATTTTTATTAAAATGATATTATTTAATCTGGAAAATATATATACATTTTTAAGATGAAGCGAACAGGGCCTAAGTGGGTATCATAAAAAAAAAAATTGCAAAAGAAAGACATTAGGATTATAATTTAGGAAAAAGTAATGGATAAGAGAAGTATATCATTAAAAAGTAGCAGTGGGTTTTGACTAAGAGCCATGATAGGAAAGATATAATGTTACACCGTAATTTATTGCCATAAGTTGACCTCATGGTTTTGATTATGACACATCCTAAATTATTTACAAACTAATAAGAGCTTGATTGTTTAATTGTGTACAGATGTAATGACTAGGAGAATTGCTTGCAAAAATTCCATGAGGAACAAGATAGCCAAGTGTAAGGAGGGTGATCCCATCGTAAGGGGTACTCTCCTTAAATGCCCTTGGCCTTTTAAAAGCCTAGGAATTTACACTTGTTAGGGTGTAGTAGGATTTGAATTCCTGACTGTTTGGGAGACCTTGAATTAGAAATGATACTCTCATCACGCCTTTTTGTAAGAAACAAGTAGGAGTCGCCAATGAGTATTAAAACTCATAAACCTCGTTCATGCCTTTCTTCCATATGGAGTTCATAGAATAATTAGCACGAATCATAAGTTTAACCATGCCCAAATTGGTCTACATAAACCAGAAATGAGTTTGGGAGCGAGGGTACTAAAATAACATTCCTTTTAGGGAGGAATCGTTATTCTAGCCCTAGTACGGCCTCTACTAGCTCTTTCTTTTTCACAATTTCATTACCAAACAATATATGCAACGTGATACCTAAACTATGTTAGTTGATTTTATTTACAAGCATTAATCACATAGGAATTACATTGCAAAAGTCATTATTCTTATTTAATAATATTCGTGAAAGAACAATAAATAAACAAGATTCGCCTTGTTTTAAGTGATAAAACAACAATTAATTATTCAAATTCTAGTCTTGATTAATGAAAGAGTACTATGTGAATTAATTAATTAATAGTATATTTAAAGTGATCAAACAACACTAATTAATCAATTAAAGTTATTTAAACAATAAAAGAAAATTGATTTATCTAAGTGCTCAGGAAACTAACCGTTCTTCTTTCATGTTAAATCTCCGTTTTAATGTGTTTATGGACTTTCTTTCTTCTTCGTACCTCCAAGGACTTCAATGGAATCAATTAGGGTTTGAAAATATTTGGGAAGAGAGAAGAAAAAGTAGTATGAGAAGTTGAGAGATTAGGGTTTTGAGAATACTAGGTTTTTAATTCTGATTTTTCCGGTCCTCGTAATGCTGAACGAAGACCCCTATTTATAGGCGTAGGGATCTAGGTTTAGGGTTTAGAGCCGCGCAGTCAGGTGGCGCACGCAACTCTATGAGTCGCGCTGGGTGCCGCGCGCATCTCAATGAGTTGCCCGGGCAAGGCGCGTGCAACTGATTGAGTTGTGCTGGTTTGCGGTTTGCCTTATACAAAAATGTGTTTTTAAAACTTCCATAACTTTTGATTGCAGAGTCGGATTAAGGCATGTGAGGTATAAATGGAAAGCTCTGAATGTATACTTTCCAATGCCATTAGAATTAGGTTAAAATATATTATGGATCAAAAGTTATGGCCGTTGGAGTGCAAGGGTGTCGGTTTTAGGGCCTCGTTTAGTGTTTTGATCATAACTTCTTCGTTTTGGCTCGGAATCAAGCTTATAATATACCGTTGGAAATCTCTTTTAAAGGGATATCTATTTGTATAGTCCTTGAATGGGAATTTTATGGTTGGTTTATCTTTTTTTCTCGGTTTTCAACAATGTAGGTTCTATTGGATCCAATCATTGCATTTGACGCATTTGGGTCCGTTATT